TCCACCACCACCACCACCTCCTCCTCCACCTCCTCCGCCACCACCTCCGCCAGCTCCTCCTCCTCCTCCCCCTCCTCCGCCACCACCTCCGCCAGCTCCTCCTCCTCCCTCTCCTCCGCCACCATCTCCGCCACCTCCTCCTCCTCCTCGCTCCCCTGATGCAATCCCAACCCCTGTCCCTCCTTCCCCTCCTACTGCCCCTGCCTCGGCTCCTCCTTCCACTCCTTCTCCCCGCGCCCCTTCCCCTACCCCTATCCCTCCTTCTCCTTCTCATCGTGCCCCAACCCCTACCCCTTCTCCCTCGACGGCGTCACGGCCGGAGAACTCAAATGGCTTGGTTCCTGAAAAAGGGAGGGATATTTTGATCGAGGACTACTAATCACTTCCGGACTGCATATATATACATGGCACTCATCCATCTTTCGACATCTCAAGGATGTTGCACTATTTTCCTATATATTCTCCCACTGTGTCAAGTAAATGTAAGCACGTGAAATTTGAACTACCTACCTATATTTGTTTTGCCATTTAGTCACCTTTAGTCTTCCATTATAAGTGCACCCTCTGATTTTATTATTTAATATTTAAGGCTTCGCAGCTTACTATAAAACATATATATATATATATATATATAAATGAATTAGCAGTTCGTTTTTCTAATTTGTATTTCGTGATATATGTCCCTCTCGCTCTTCATGTTTTTTTTACTCTTATATATGGATCTAATTATTGCGAGATCATGTATAAAATGACTTAGGATATATATATATATATATATATATGATAAAGATGAGCAAAGTCTGATTAATATTAAGATTAATTCAAAAAATAGAAACGAGAGCGCATATATATCTGGTACTACGTGCCTTCATCTTATCTTTCAAAATTCTCAATATCGCTTACTCATTTTTTTTTTTTCCAAATTACATATAGATCGAGTCATTTAGAGCATCTTTAACCACATGTCGCCAAATAAAATTATAAGAATTTTGATGTAAATAAAATAAAAAGGAAAAAAGAAAAGAATAGAAAAAATGTGTTTTGGGCTTCACAGCTTCGCGGCCTTAGGAATTATATCAAATTTTATGTTGTCATGAGTACTGATAAAATGATGCTTAATTTTAGTGCTCATATAATTCCATCCAGCCAATGTGTGTGTGTGTGTGTGTCTATATATATATATATATATATATTCATGCCATACGTTATATCTTTAAAAAGTTAATAGTCATTATTTGTAGAACAAAGATAAAAAATTAACTTGGTGATACAAATTTAGATAAGTAAAAGAATATGAATACATTGGTTGCAAAAGCTAGGGAATATTGAAACACTGTAGCGGTGATTACTTTTGATCAATGTTATATTCTTTCATAATTGATACTGATCGATCATACATGCCTAGAACAAAACTACTGTCAATGGATTCCCATTAAAGGACATGTCTTTTAATGATTCGTGTTGCTCGGATTGATATACGGCAAACAAAAAAAAAAATCAATGGGTTATACCGCGTATAGATTAATTAATGAAGGAAAGTACATAAGTCTCTCACACAGCTCTTGTGTACATAATAACTTGTGGGTCGTTAGCTATTTGTGTTATGATCTCAGTAGAACATAATAATATAGCTATATATTTTATAACCACCACCTCCACCTCCTGCTTCTTCTTTCGTCATTATTATTATTATTATTATTATTATTATTATTATTATTATTCCTGCTTCTTCTTTCGTCATTATTATTATTATTATTATTATTATTATTATTATTATTATTATTATTATTATTACAATTCTATTTCTCTTAATTTCATAATTAGCGTTTTTTTTTTTTTTTAGTGAAAGAGTTTTCAATAGAAACAAGGCTCAAAGCCAGCAAAAGAACACACTAGAAGAAAACAAGCCCAGCAGGGCCGAAAGAAATTACAATATCACCATATCAGAAAAAAACAAAGCACTAAACAATACCATCCTGAGCCACAAAATGAGAAATAAGATATGGAAGATATGGCGCTTATAAAAATCCATATTTTTCACATAACAATACATGCTCAACCACTTAGAAAGATAACACAAAACCATACGCCGTACACATGGTAATGAAATACACAAATATATGGTACGTAATAGGAAGCACCGTGCCTGCAAGCTTCAAATTATAATTAGAATAGACCAAAATAAAAAGTAGCTATATAGTACGTTTCAGTAGGAGGACATATTTAATAATGGAAGGGAAAATACACAATATAACATATTTCGCACTGATATTTGAAGTGTGTAGCATATTTTTTTAATCTTTATAAATAATAGCATATTTTAAATGTTCATGCTGGAAAACTAAATTGTTTTCCCACTTTACCCATCCGACAATATTAGGGTTTCCATCTCATCTCTTACAGCCGCCTATTACAACCGTCCATTCTCTCTCTCTCTCCCTCTCTCGTCGTTTCTTCTGCAACCTAACTCCTCTCTCTCTCTCTCTCTTCCGTTCACTTCAAGTCTGCCGCCATCGCCATCGCCATGACAGTGCCAATCCAGGGGTAGGGAAGAATGCAATAGATCACAACAATTCACCTTATGGTATGGATGAATGCTCAACCACTTATTATAACATATACGCTCAACCACTTATTGGATAATACAAAACCATATAAACGAGATACGATATATGAAATACACATATCTATGGTAGATAATTAATAGGAAGAAACGATGCTCGCAAGCTATCAGAACAACCAAAATCAAAACTAGCTATATATATATATATATATATATACACATTTCAGTGGAAGGACATATGGAATCATGTGAATTCCTCATAAGGAACCCACAGAAGCACTAGAAGATTTTAAACATCTATAAAGAGGAGTTTAGCCCTAAACTCTTCTACCAAGCAAATGAATTAGCAAAATCCAATAGATCATTTGAGTTTTACTTACATATCACCTAATTTGTATTAAGAAGTGCTCTCTATAACGATGGGCTGCTGCTCGTCCTCCTCCTCCTCCTCCACCACCACCACCACCACCTCCACCTCCACCACCACCACCTCCACCTCCACCTCCACCTCCACCACCACCACCACCACCTCTCCACCTCCTACTGCCCCTGCCCCGGCTCCTCCTTCCACTCCTTCTCCCCGCGCCCCTTCCCCTGCCCCTAAAAAAGGGAGGGATATTTTGATCGAGGACTACTAATCACTTCCGGACTGCATATATATACATGGCACTCATCCATCTTTGGACATCTCAAGGACGTTGCACTATTTTCCAATATATTCTCCCACTGTGTCAAGTAAATGTAAGCACGTGAAACATTGTAGTGGTGATTACTTTTGATCAATGTTATATTCTTTCATAATTGATATTGATTGATCATACATGCCTAGAACAAAACTACTGTCAAAGGATCCCCATTAAAGGACATGTCTTTTAATGATTCGTGTTGCTCGGATTGATAAACGGCAAAAAAAAAAAAAAAAAAAAAAAAAAATTAATAAATAAATCAATGGGTTATACCGCGAATATCAATTAATTAATGAAGGAAAGTACATAAGTCTCTCACACAGCTCTTGTGTACATAATAACTTGTGGGTCGTTAGCTATTTGTGTGCTGATCTCAGTAGAACATAATAATATAGCTATATATTTTATAACCACCACCTCCACCTCCTCCTCCTTCTTTCGTCATTATTATTATTATTATTATTATTATTATTATTATTATTATTACAATTCTATTTCTCTTAATTTCATAATTAGCGTTTTTTTTTTAATGAAAGAATTTTCAATAGAAACAAGGCTCAAAGCCAGAAAAAGAACACACTAGGAGAAAACAAGCCTAGCAGGGCCGAAAGAAACAACAGCATATCAGAGAAAAACAAAGAACCAAACAATACCATCCTGAGACACAAAATGAGAAATAAGATATGGATGATATGGCGCTTATAAAAATCCATGGGTGCGTTTGAAATTCGTTCTAAAATGATTTTATTTTTTCTATGAAAATGAAAATGAAAACGTTTTTAATCTCAGATAGAAATCATTTTTAAAAATGTGTTTGGTAGTTTTATCAAGAGATATATATATATATATATATATGTGTGTGTGTGTGTGTGTGTGTGTGTGTGTATTCCAATTATTTATTAAGTTAGGGAGAGTTGTGGAGTTCATGAGGACATGAATTAATATATGCTCCTTTTTGTTGTCGATCGCTATCACATGCTCTACAAGTACATGAAATTAAAGTTCAACTCTGCTGTGAGGAATCTGATTCCCATTGATGTTTTGCCGCACCTCTATAATATGTTTAAGCTTTGTAAGTTGGATTCTACTTCCACGTAAAAAACGTTATATCACATTTATTTAATATAACATTGAAATATGAAAGGCGTTACATGTTTAATAAATGTGATATTTTGCTTCTACTTCTATATATATTACATGTTGTTTTTAACAAATGGGAAATTAATTAATTTAAATAGAGAGAGGAGCAAAGGCGGAGCTAGAAAAGTTAGCCAGGAGACTGGAGTGATAATTAAGATGGGGCACATAAAAAGATGTAAAATTACAAATTTTATGAAATGTCACGTACAAAATTAAAAGAAAGAAATAGTTTAAATGGGGTGGCCTCACACTCAAATCTGTGGATGGCTCCCTCTTTGGAGAGAAGAGGAGAGTAGACTCAACCAGAATTATATCTTAACATAAAAACGATAAATAGGAAATTAATTAATTATTCAAAGCTATAATCGAATATAAAATTTAGTTTTATTTAAGGGTTTTCTCTTCGTGAGATTTCTTTAAGTGGATTCGGGAATTCTTTGTCTAGGTTAAGTAAGTAAAATTCTATGCTATACATTCTGCTGCATTAGAAGATGTCCATTAATTTTAGAAATACTAGGAAATAGGAACGGCTTAGAACTAACTTGAGCGCTAGCAGAAGAAAATTCCAGGTTATTTATAATGATATGTTTTACATCCTTTAAAATATAATCTGTAGAAAAACAAATATATTGTTTTAATATATATATATATATATATATATGATATGTTAAAGTATCCTGGCTTAGAAATCACTTGAGCGCTATCAATATTATGGGTTATAATTAATCCTTTAAAATATATTGTTATAATTATTCTTTTGTATACGCTCATAAGTTTTAAGGTTTGGCTGTTTCTGTTTTTTTTTTTTTTTATCATTATGATTAATGTACCTTAATTAGCTACTAAGAAAGCATCTTCTTTATAACAAGCTCACTTTCTCCTCGTTAACAAGCAATATATTTTTTCTCGGAATCAACAGGCAATTAGTGGATGGGGAATCGTTAGATAGATCACAATGGTAGGATGATATTGTTTGGCAACGAAGAAAAAGTGAGAGAAAAATCGGATTGATAAAAGTTCTAGTGGACCCTACTAGTTTTAATCCCCCAATAGCTGAATGGAACTTTGAGTCAAAAGTTGTTCTACTTATTAGTCTCAATCTTTGGCAGAAGTGCATAGTTGTGTATGTAGAGGGATTTCTGATGTTTGTATAACTTGACAAGCGGAGACATTCTAATTTTTCCTCTTTTTTTCGCTTGGGATTTTACTTGTAAGGTTTTTGCTGAGGTCTATTCTAGAATATGATTTCCAAAAGTATTCTTAATTACCATTGTTCCTTTTGGGCATGTTTGTTCTTGTTCTCATCATATAGGGGGTTTTTTTATGGTTCTTTCTTAATATCTCTATTTTATTTTATTTGATAAATTAAGTGGGGATCTTAGTGTGTAGAGGGTATTTAGTAAGTATTAATCTAGTTGGGATATATATTAGTTGCACTTTATGTTAATTTGTTCCCTTTTGTCACTTACTAAAGATAAATAAATAAAATTCAGTGCGACAAATTTGATTTAAGTACGGCAATCACTACATTTCCTAGGATATATATATATATATATATATACACACACACATACATATACGTATATTTATGAAACTCACGTGCTAATTACATTTGAACCATATATCAATTATCACATGTGCAATGATCTCGCATGGTAACAAATAGCTTCAAGTTTAGAGAAAGCGTATAGAGCTAATTCAGCTCGAGCTCCTAATATATGAACTGGAGTCATTTTGAAGCTTGGACTAATCTTGATGCTTCGATATATTTTAGTTCTATCTAGCTAGATCTTCATAATACTATTTTTCTTAGTATTTGGCTTCTGGATATCTTTGAATTATTAATTTTTTCGATCTCTTTTAAGTTGATTCTCAAGATTTTGATATATTCCACAACGTAGCGGAAAAAGATTAAAGCATGCATAATACATGTGATATACCCAAGATCAAAATATATATATATATATAATTACTGATGGGAAACGTAACTATTAAAAATAAGTTAT